TTACAGCATTTTTTCTATTTGTATATTTAAAGATTTTTGTGGGGTGTTTAAGTTAGAATAGGTTTTATTTAACTACGATTTTAAAAAAATGTTCACTTTTAATTTTTAATATACTATATTACTTTTTAAAACAAGTAAATGTATTAGAATCACTTACAGTATGTAAAATTATTTTCACATCAAGTATAAGTATGTATATTACTAGGTCACAATTTTTTTTTTTTTTAAATTTATATTTAAATATTATTTAAGTAAAATTTTTGACAATGGTGGCAAAAATAGCTAATTAATTTCTCTGATTTAGTAAAATTTTATTTTTTATATATTTTATATAAATCCAGTAATATCTTGTTTCTCATGTAAGTACAAAGGACATGGGTCATTCAATGGCTCACATCTTCTAGCTTTTCATATTAATTTCATTTTACTGTAGGCCTTTAATTAGATTCTTTTAAGTGCTTGTAGTACTTTGAGAGAGGTGTTTGATATGCTCATCGAAAATCTTGTCATTTGCTGAATTTGTACTTATTCTTTTTCTGATAGATAACAGTATATGTTTAATTATAGATGGGGGGTGATTTGATTTAGGGTGTATATATAAAGGATTGGTATATATATATATATATATATATATATATATATATATATATTGTGTATTTAGGCAGCAAACCTTCTTTCATGCATGCTTCATTAAATATGACAGACAAGGTGCTTTGATTAAGTTTTTTTTAGACATTTTTGTTGATTTCATCTTATCTTTCTGACCATAGCTCAATTAGGTCTGATTTAAATACTCATGGAGACCTACTGGGCTCTATTCACAACATACTTGTTGATAATACAAATATAATAGTATTATCTACATGTAAAAAAGTTTAAAAATAATGGAAGCCTTATTAATAAAAGCAAAAAAAACATCACTTAATAATATCAATTTTGAACATGTACACAATATGTTGACTGTGTGACAATTTTGAAAATGAAACATAAATACATACATACAACAATTTATTTCTAGTTAACAGTTAATATATTTCATCCTTGAAAATGGCTAAACGTATAGCTGAAAGCGCTCGTAAAAATATAACATTTGGACAGTTTTTATATAATTTATCTACTGAAAAGAAATAAATTATAAGATCATATGAGAAATTATATAAAAAAATTAATCAAAGCACCTTGTCTGTCATATTTACTGAAACTTGCATATATATATATATATATATATATACACACAAATGTAATGAGAATGAAAATAATATATAAATTCTAACGTTCACAGCATTAATTCAAAACAGGGCCCAATACTGATAGTAGAGCAATAATTATTTATTATAATTTTTCATATAGACAAAAACAGTTTACTCATGACAAAGATGCAAATTCATTTCAGTGCATTTATTTGAAACTTGATTGGTAAGAACCAAAACGGTTATGAACAACATATATATATATATATATATATATATATATATATATATATATATATATATATATACTCCTGAAAAATTTATTTCGGTTGAGCTCTCTAGGCAGGAAGTGTGAGTTTGTAAACACTGCTAATAACACATGACTCTTCGGTAAATCTGTGTGTTTATCTAAAAATAAATATGCTTAAATTCACCTTCATCCCTGCCGTGTGCTCATGGCTTAGGGTAGAATCTCTGACTGACGCCAGTTCAACTGGGTTTCAATCCTAGCTAGAAGCGATCGGACGTCTAGCCACACTGATAAGCTGTGATACAGTCTGTCTGGGGATGACACTATAATATAATCCAAATCCTAAAAAAGTGAAAAACCCGACAATGAACTCATAGCTTCACTTGATGTTGAAAACTTATTTACCAATGTCCCTGTTAGTGAAACTATTGGCATAATTATAAGAAATATTTACAGTAACTCATCTTTACCCCCACTTAAAATTAATCCTAATATATTAAGAAAACTACTATTAGCTTGTACTACTGAAGTCCCTTTCTTCGATCATAATAATATATATGCACTATAAAAACACATAAACCTAACTATCCTCTCCATCCTATCATATCACAAATTCCAACTCCTGTATATCAGCTGACAAAATATGTTAACCAACTCATTACTCCCTACCTTTCTAGTAAATATAGTGTTAAGTCAACATTAGAAGTAATCTAAATCTTAAAAAGTGAAAAACCTCACACTGAAATCATAGCTTCACTTGATGTTGAAAAAAAAAAAAAAAATATATATATATATATATATATATATATGATGCCAGGAAGGGGTTGAAAGCCTTGAATGATAACTTTCCTAAAGATAATGTCTTGATGATAATGCTTAGTGTATTTGGACTCCCGTGAATATCTGAGTTGAGAGTTGGGAAGAGCATCAAACCTTGTAAAACTTTGCCTCGAATCATTATAACAAATCCTCTATCAGTCGGGGCCCACTTTGCTTTGCGTGAGATTAATCATGTTCCTGCCTAAAAACAAAATAAACACGACTATATATATATGCATGTATACAGGTAAGCACAAATATTCACACCCAATATGATAGAGAATATTTCCTTACAAGATTTCAAATAATTTCATGTCAACATGAAAAAAGTTAATATTAAAACTAATTAAAGAAATTTCTTCTTACCTTATTCTTGTTTTGTGTTAAAACAATGCTTACTCACAGAATATTAAATAATTTTGAACACTTCTCAAATATTTTTAAAAAATGTTTATTTTTTGTTTTTTTTTATTCTTGATTCAGACTGCTTTCTCTACATGCTGCATCTATTCATGACATAGACGATCATGGCTCTCCACAATTTTCTATCTCTTGTATTCCAGTTTTTCTCCCTTTGCCAATCATTCACACAAAATCATCAGATAAATGGCTTGCCTTTAATATGCCTTATGAGAGTTAAGTTTTCCATGCCCTCTTTCCTCATGATATGTCTATGGAATTTCAGCTATCTCTTCCTGATTCTGAGCAGAAATGTTCTTTCTCTTGCCATGTTCTTTCAGACTTCCTTGTTGCTTACTCGTTCTGTCTATGGAATTTTCAGTTTTCTTTTGCCAAACCACGTCACTGCTGCCTCTAGTTTCTTCCTCATCTGTGGAGAGATTGTCACATATTCACTGCCATATAAGAAGATGAATAATGCATCTTTTTTCTTTGTTTCCATTTCTCATTACCTTGCTTATTTTTTTGGGAGGCATCTTTTGCTAGTTCAATGTGTGTTCAGATCTTGGTGTCATATTTTCCTTCGTCTTTTAAAACACATCCGAGATATTTAAACTTCTGCACCTGCTTGATTTTGACATCTCCAATTCTTAACTTTCATCTTGTGCTTTTTCTCTTGTTGATGACCAGACTTTCTGTCTTCTTGCAGTTGATAGTTAGTCCTTTTTTCTTGCCTTATTCTATAGTGATATGAAAACAAAATATTTTTTTAAATATTTCTTGGAAATGTTTATTTCTTTAGCAGTGTTAGTTTTTCTTTGTTTTTAGTTATAAACAGATTAACAAAATAATATCCACTAGAGTTCTGGTAAGTTCTCGGACCAACCAACTTCTGCAAAATAATATCCACTGGAGTTCAGGAAAGTTCTCAGACCAACCAACTTCTGCAAAATAATATCCACTGGAGTTCTGAAAAGTTCTCAGACCAACCAACTTCTGCAAAATAATATCCACTGAAGTTCTGGAAAGTTCTCAGACCAACCAACTTCTGCAAAATAATAACCACGGGAGTTCTGAAAAGTTCTCAAACCAACCAACTTCTGCAAAACCTGATCTTTGACCATTTGGTCAGATGATGGTTAGGATAAAAAATACTATTATTCTCAGTTTCTGTTGTTTACATCAAGTTTTTTACTTCTACCTCTAATTTTTATTTCAGGTCCCTTCAGAATGTGAGTGATCATGACTCTCCACTACTTCCCTTTCTATGCATCACTATTTTTCACAGTCCATATTCTGCCATGCATTTTACTCAACCTTTCCCTCTCATCCTCAGTAATTCCTGTGTCAAATTCTCCAAGCTTTCTTTCCTCATTATCTATACCAGAAATTTCAATTCTTTCTAATTTTTTGTTTCCAATTTCCTTAAAACTTCTTTGTTGCTCACATGCTCCATCTATTGTATTCTCAGCATCTTTCTGTAGAACCATACTTCTGTTTCCTCCAATCCCCTCTTCATCTGAGGAAATTCTCCAACATTCACTGCCATATAAAAGGATTTATACAGGGTGTCCATAAAGTGCATGTGCATTTTAAAAAATTTATAATTTTATTTGTATTTGTGATAGAAATAATATGTAGAAAATGTTATAAAGTTTAATGTACCTAGTTTTTAGTATAGCTAAAATAACTAATGTGATTTCAGGCATTACTGTAAATCAGTTGGCAAATGTTTTTCGTGAACTGCAAAATCGTATTACCCTTTGTATTGCTAATGATGGAGGACACGTGGAAACTTAAATAAAATTTCAATAAAACCTTAAAAAATATAGATTTACTTCTTTCTAATCGTTTTTACAAATTATTTCTGTCAGAAATACAAATAAAGTTATAAATTTACCGGAAAATTGTTAGAATGCACACGAACTTTATGGACACATGTATTGCTTAGAAGTTCAGCACTGTTTTCTTAGTTTCTGATGACATTTACCATTTCTTTGTACTTTCTTTAGCATTTGGAAAGCAAGAGAAATAAGAAGAAAGAAATACAAGTTAAAAATTAATTATTAATAATGCGACATTGAAGAAATTCAGAAAAGTTACAATTATTGCTACAAACGAGAAGTAACATGAAAGAGATACTAATAAAATATTGAATAATAAATGACATGAATTTTGACTCAGAAATTCAGACAATTTAAGATTTTTACTAGAAACTGTAAAGGAAAGATGAAATAAAACTTAATCAAAAATTCACATTAATTAACAAAGTTTCATATCAGATTACCAGACAAGACTTACAATTCGATTTAACAAAAAAAAAAAGACAATGAAAGAAATAGTCATAAAAAAAACTGGTTATGATTAGTAAAGTTTTGTATCAGAAATTCAGTCAGTACAAGGAAAAGGAGAGAATAATAATATTTAAAAAGCGAGGGAGGGTAATGAAACTGATGGTGAAAGGAAGAGGAGTGAAAAGAATAAAAATATTTAAAAATGGAGTGAGAATAATAAAAGTGATGGTGAAAGGAAGAGGAGTGAAGAGAATAAAAATATTTAAAATGGGAGAGAGGATAATAAAATTCATAGTAGAAGGAAGAGGGAAAAGAAAATTTTATAAAAGGAGGAAAGATCATAAAATTAATGGTGAAATGACAAGGAGTGAAAAGAATAAAAATATTTAAAAATGGTGGGAGAATAATAAAATGGGTAATTGAAAGAAGAGCTGAGAAAAGAATAGAGAAATTTAAAAAGTGAGGTGGATAATAAACCTGATAATATAAGTTGGAAGGGAAAAGGGGGAAAGAGTTATTATGATGGGAGGAGGGTAGAACAAAGACAAAAGGAATTAGAGATAGATCTGGAAATCTGAGGAACCTTTTAAAAAGACAGAAAGGGAAAAATATTAAAACTCTATAGACCACAAGCAGAAAAATAGGGTCCATAATATGAGTGAAAGAGAAAAAATAGAGCAGGAGGATGAGAGAGACAAGACATAACATAAAAGAAGGTGAAAGATGTGAGCAAGGAAAAAAGGTGGGAGGAGAGATAAAGAGAGAAGAGAGGAGTAGTAAGTGCATTTGGACAATAAGGGTAAAACTTCAGCTGAAAGTTATTGCAAGAGAGAAAGTAGAATGCAAAACAAGAAATAAGAGCCAGCGCCTTTACCAATATCTGAATCGCCGACAGATGTGCCTAGAACACAAACAGTGCAAATATAGAATCAATAACAGTTCTGTGAGACACACTTCACAGACAAACGAAGAAATTGAAATGCTAAAATTGTCTCATTGAAACAAACATAGCTTCTGTTGGGCCAAAGACAAGCCAAGGGCAAGAAAGAGAATATTAACAGTGAATACTAGTAGCAATATCTTGTTGTTAAATCTTTTTTTTTTTCACATATAGACTTTCCACTTTATTTATTTTTCAATTTTTAAATGTTTTTCTTTTTCTTTCAGATATATAATTTTTTTCAACTGATTCTTTTTTTTTCCCCATTCTCACGTTCTTTGACTTTTCTTTTATTGCTATTTCAAAATTTCCTTGCCACCATTTTTGTTTTTTGTTTTCTTCCTCTCAGCTAATTCACACACTTCATTATGTATTTCTTGTTTTCTGCCTTCATGTCTTAATATTTATTAAGCTATGTTTAGTACAACACAATTAGCTTCAGGGTACCCAGTGAGGATCAAACATAAGATATTAATAATGGACTGCTAGACTAGTTTGCAAATCTCTTTTCATTCCCTTGTCATACATCCATTATTAAAATGTCCTAATCTGGTACAAGGCTACAAGTTATTAAGTATCAAATGAAGACTGCACTCAATGCTATAATAATTACTTGTAAGAGTAATGTTTTGAAGTGTCCTTTCCTTCATATTTTATTACTCTAATGATAGTCATTTATCTTGCATACCAGTAACTAACCTACTCTTACTGCTTGGGATTTATACAGTCTATACCAGCAACCTTTTGCTGACTATGTGCCGACTTAGAGTTTTAAAATCATTCAGTATACCAACAGCATGCATATTTTTATACAAGTCAAGGTCAATATACCTGTTCTACAATATCTTATATAGTAATATATAGTATATATACTTTAGTATATTATAAAATTGAAACAGCTAAATCTCTTCTTTGTGTTGTAGTAGTTATTGGTTGGGACTTCATGATGTCATTTGTGGCTGCGTGACATTGGAAATTGCTTGGCATACTATGTGTGACACGCATGCCATAGGTTGCTGACCCCTGACCTAGAGTAGTAGGAAAGTTAGAGAAGGGATCTATCAAAAAAACGGTGTCAAAAGAAAATAAGATAAAAATGATTACTAATCTGCAAAAAATAACTAACATCATTTCAGACCATTAGGCAACAAAGATCAAAAGTTTTGTGAGGTGCTGAAAAGTTCCAACTAAAAAGTGAATAAACCATCAGTCATGAAAGATACAAATTATTCCACATGTATCCACATCACAGTTCAACATTTCGTAAAGTGATTCTGAAATTTCTTTAACCTTATCCCAAAAGAAAATTAATGTCCTTATGTCCAATCAATGAAATATTGTTCTGTGATTTATTAATTAAATCATTCAAAATTTCCTCCTTTTCAAATTCTTTTTAAGGTTCAGAAATTGTCCATGTACTAAAATACAAAATTGTTCCAAGTGTGTATTGTTTTGCCAGCCCTGAAAACTGACAGTTAAAAAAACTGATTCCACAACTTCCATTTACTTTTTTTCAACACCTTTAATTGAGGTCGGCAACTTTTAGTGTGTCAACAGCATACATATTTTTATACAAGTCAAGGTCAATATACCTGTTCTACAATATATTTTATATAGTAATATAGAGTATATATACTTTAGTATATATTTGTTGTAACCTAGGGAAGGTTACTGAATAGAATAATCAAACGAAGGTTGGTAATGATAATACTTAGGACACGAACAACACATATAAGATTCGCCAGTGGTATGTAGAAGAAGTATCAACTGCTAGAAGTCAGTCAAGTGAATTCCACAATGAATCTCCAACTGCAGGATATCTACCAACCACCCCATGTGATCTGATGTCGCACAAGGTCGAATTTAATGTGGGGTATCTGTGCCTGTAGGCTCGGCCAAAAATTCCCCATAGACACAGGGTCAGGTAGCTGTTTCCCGAGATGAGACTCTGCTCTTTGATATAGCCTCTGGGGATCCTTTCCGCCCAAAGGCAGAGAGTTTGATCAGCACAGCTGAAGACAAATCTCCAACTGCAGACGAATCTCCAACTGCAGACCAACATACAGTATTTACTACTGTATTTATGTGAATAGGGACATACTCATTATCATCCATAGGTATGCTACAACAATATTATAATTGAAAAAGCTAAATATTTTCTTTGTGTTGTAGTAGTTATTGGTTTGGACTTCATGATGCCATTTGCGGCTACATGCCATTGGAAATTGCTTGGCATGCCATTGAAAATTGCTTGGCATTCCATTGGAAATTGCTTGGCATGCCACAGGTTGCCAACCCTTGGTCTGTACCTTAACTATGCTAATTATGCAGTCATTTACATATCACTACAAATAGATTGCTCCATGTTAAGGCACTCAATATAAGGTTACATTTATTTGTTTTTTTATGACTTATCACCCCTTTGCAGTTTAGTTAAATCAGAAAATATTTTTTAAATTGTAAGAGTGTTTTGGAGATAATAATGATTTTACATATACAAGTCCTACTAATTAACCCTTTGTTGGGGGAGAAGAGACGGATTCATACCTTTCTCAAGGGTATTTGCAGATAAGTGGATATAATGAATCTAACTGGAATTGAAAATCAGCTCCCCTATTTCCAACTCCAAGCCATTATCCATTGTAACACCTGCAAATCCAAGCTTACAGCACCTGATATTCACAAACAGTTGTCTATCTAGGTATTGACCAGGCTTGACATTGCTTAACTTTGGTGTTTGTATGATAAATGATGTTTCAAAGTGATTCTAACAAAGTTACAAGAGTAGAACATTTACTGAAGGTCAAAGTCAAATTACCTGTTTCATAAATACACAAAAAGTATTTGATAAGGGGCAATACAAAGAGCTATTTGAACTACTAGGAAAACTTTGTTTATTTAGGAAAAACATTAGAATAATTAGGAACATTTACTGGGAACAAAACAACCAGCATACAGACATAAAAATAGAAAAAGCTGTAAGACAAGGTTGTATCATTTCTCTAGATTATTCCAATTATACATCAAGCCAAACGTAAGAAAAGTAGAAATCCTACCATGATTGATTTCTGGCAAACACATGATGAAAGATCTAAGCATCAGTTGTAAGAAGAGTGAACCTATGGTCATTAGCAAGAGGGATAATTTTTACTTATTGCTAATAATTAATAAAAAGATACATATTATTTCGAAAAAGTCTATACCTGTTTAAGATGTTACTCCAAATTTTCATGAAGCTCAGTGAAACACTAAACATTCTTATAACATCTTTAAATACAAATTAATTTTTTTTTTAAGCATATCACCCCAAGCAAAGCAGAAGTGCCACTAGCATACAAGGGGTTACAGAAAGTGAGAACAAGAGAAATGAGGGATGCATGAGGAAAAGATAAAGACAGGGATCAAGATCAAGGCATTAGGAGATGTCAATTGACATGACATTTAAATATTTGAAGATTATAGCTATCAGGGAAGCAAGTAAGAGGAAGGGAGTTCCACTGCTGGGAAGTGCGAGATAAGAAGTTGTTGGAGTAGAAGAGATGGCTACATCTAACTGTGTGTAATTAATAATAAAGTTGATAATATTGTGACCACATCATTTTGTATCATGAACTGCTTTTGAAAGAAATGAAACAGGTTTTTATGGATACATCATAATTGAATATTTAACAGATCACTGCTTGCCTCTTCAAGTGAATCCTTAATTACACATCACATTTACTCTCTATTCCAATTGTAAAGAAGAAGTTCCACTTAGACAGCTTCTTCCTTAGAACTGTTAATTTATGGAACAAGCTCCTGCATGGATGTTACTCTGAATACAACAATCTTAACTTCTTAACTTGAAGGTCAATTGCTATATATCTTCCTTCTCCTCATAATATACATTTCTTTCTACCTTCCTTGAAATTAATATTGCATGCCTTATTCAGTAACCCTCTACCATGTGTGGCTCATAGGCCTTACATGAACATAAACTTTAGTAAAAATAAATAAACAAAAATTTAACAAATGATGCCATCCAAAATTCTCTGAACATAAGGAAATACAAGAGGTCCAGTCAATGACGAATTATTCGTACACCCATCAATTTTGAATATTTTTATCCATTTCTCAGAATCTAAGGCCCATATGATGCCAGTTTTATATATATATATATATATGTTAATAAGCAGAAAGAAAGGAATATAAAATTCGATTTTCAGAACAAAAGGTTAAATACAACAAATTTGACAGGTGAATTATGCAAAATAGGAAAAGACAAAATTATTTGTATCGTAGAAAATATCATTTTAAATTGATTGATTCATGTAAATATAACTAATTTACATAATTATTTAATTGGTGAAGCCTTCTACACTATTTATTCAGTAAAATATGTGATAATTCCGGCAAAGAACATCATGTAGTGCATACAGTGTCACCATTGTTATTCTTACTGATACTTTCATGAATCGATCAATTTAATCGCTCTGTTGGCTGGGGTTGTAGAATATGCTGACTGCACCTCTGCAGAGGGGTAAGATCCCCCCCCCTCCCCAATGTGGCGTCCTGGGTATGACGATGAACTACATCTGCGTCCTGGGTGGGACAGTGAACTGCATCCGGTGACAGGGCCTCTGATCAGGAGGTTTTGAGGAGCATGGAACCACCTCTTAATTGCTGGTGTTCCCGGGTCCACCCTGACGTGAGGTGGTGGCACCTGTTGGAGTCCCGGCTATGGGAAAATAGGTGTTGACTTCAGGGTCCACTTATATATAAATACAATTTTCATTAAAAAGAACTGACAAGGTCAGCTATGAACATGGCCACAATGTGCTGACCGTGTTTCGAAAATAAAACATTC